GCACAACTATCGTTTCAAGGTGTTAGGAGTTACTTGCAGTATTAGGTTTAGTAGTGGGATAACGATTTGGCGGAATAGTGTTGTTGGATTTGCCAACTGTAGGAAGGGATTTGCTAGACAGGAGTTATGGTCGACGGGGCGAGTGCGACACGCCACGACAGCTCTATTGGTACGTGTTTGGGACGGTGGATGCGGTCTGCGGTGGGTGCGTGTCCGCACAGTCGGCACCGTGTGCGGCACAGGGCCATTGCGGCTGTGCGTGTGGCGCTGCTTGTTGTGTTGGCGCTGGTTGCGGCGGCGGCGTGGATGCCCGCGGTGCATGCGGTGGTGTTGCGACTGCGGGGCGGCACGGTGGACAGAGCCATCACGGTTGGCCGCGCCGTGGACACGGTGCTGATGGACGGCGTGTCCATCACGAACGGCGTGGCTGTGGTGTTCGACGTGGCGGCGATGCTTCCCGGCGCGCTGCGCATCGAATTGAGGAACTGCGTGTGCGACGGCGGTGCGCAGATCTACGTGCGAGGCTACAGCGGTGAGCCGGCGAGTGACCGGAGCCTGGAGGTGAGCGTGAGCGGGTTGTCCGGCGGCTACTGCTCGCTTGTGTTTGTGCACAACCTGCCGGCACACACGAACGTGACGGTCCGTGACTCGACGATTGTGACGGCGGGGCCGATGCGCTACTCCCAGCTGAGCGGGCTGACGGACGCGGTGGCGTCGCCGCTTGTGCTGCAGGCGACTTCGCTGTTGCAGACGCAGCTGCGTGTGAGCAACACTGTGCTGAGGTCGTTGCAGGCGGGCGGGTCGGCGGTGCACGTTGGCGGCGGCGTGGACCTGCTGTCGAGCGCGGTGGTGTTTGACGGCGTGTCGCTGGAGGCGTCGGGCGGTCCGACCGCGTCCGCGATGCATGTGGCGTCCTCGTGTCTCAGCCTGCGGGGCCACTCGGTGTTCTCTGTGACGAACGTGTCGGTTGTGAGCAGCGGCGGCGGTTTTGTGCTTGGCGAGCGCCTCGCGGTGTTTGATTCGGTGCTGCGCTTCGTGGGCGTCGAGGGGTCTGCTGCGTCGTCGCTGGTACGTTGCGACGGTGGGACGGTCGGTGGCGGCGGGTGGCTGGACCTGCACGACGTGTGGGCGGTGGGCGAGGCGTCGTCTTTGGCGTCGCTGTCGGGTGTGACGCTGAGCGGCGGCATCGTGTCGATTGCGCGCTGCGCTGCCACCGGCGCGACGCTTGTCTCCGGGCTGACGATCACGAGCGGCGCTGTGTCGGTGCAGTGCAACCGTGCCGGCGGCCGGGTGCTGCAGAGCAGCGGCGACTACCGCATGGCCGGCCTGCCCTCCGTGAGCGTGGTGCCGTGCGACGGCTGCGCGGCCGCGCTGGCGTGCTTTGATGCGCTGACGGCGTCGTTCTCCGACTGCGTGTGCGGCTGCCGTGCCGGCGGCGTGGGCGACGCGTGCCTGCCGTTCGACGTGCCGGTTGCGAGGGCCGGTGATGGTGGTGGCGATGGCGCGGAGGGCTGCGTGAGTGGCGTGACGCTGACGGAGTCGGTGACGGTTGGTGGCGTGCGTGCGACGGCGTGCTTCGACTCGGTGGTGTTCAGCGGGCCGATCACTGTGGCGGTGGACCTGCGCTCGATGGACACGTTCGCTAACGCGCTGAACGTGACGCTGCGCCACTGCGTGCTTGCGGGCGGGTCACAGCTGCGGATTGGCGGCCTCAGCGAGAGCACGGCGCGCCTGATGCCCCACGCCCTCGTCAACATGACGAATGTGACTTCGCTGGAGGGCACGATTGTGCTGCATGGCGCGATGCCGCCGAACTCGAGTGTGCTGCTGGCGAACTCAACGCTGCGTGCGACGGTTGGCGGGTCGCAGTACGTGCCGACGACCCGTGGCCACGAGAAATTTCGGTACGGCCCCGCGCTTGTCCTGGATGGCGTTCGGCTCCTGTCGACACGGCTTGTCATGACGCGGTCGTTGCTGGTGTGTGGCGGGGAATCGTGCGCTGCGATCCTCGTGGAGCGCGGCCTCGGCGTGCACCTGTCCAGCGTCTTCTACATGGTCAACTGCGCTGTCAGGTCGCGGACGCACGTGATGTACGCTCTTGCGTCGGACCTGCGTGTTGGCGGCGGCTCCGTGTTCTCCATACAGAACAGCTCGTGGAGTGTGCCGAGCATCGAATACTACAAGGGCGCGTGTGTGTTTGAGGATGTTGCGGTGGATGGCGGTAGCGTGCTGCAGATTATGTCCAGCACTTTCCGTCTTGGCTTCGCCATGCTCATAGCAAACACGCTGACTGTGACTGGCGGCAGCTGGCTGGTGCACCGCGACAACGAGTTCCGCACGGCCTACGTTGTGTACGTGGCCAACGAGAACGGCGTGGCGTTCCGCGATCGGAGTGTGTGGTCGATAATTCACAACAACTTCACTTACGGCTCGTACTCGTCGACCATTGCGCATATGACAAGCAACTGGTCACCACCGTCCGACTTGCGCCCGACCATCTACGGCATGTGCAACGAGGCAAGGGGCTCTCCTGTGACGGATTACGGAGAAGAGCTCAATATTGGGGCGCCCGTGACGGCACTGGACTGTGGTGCGTGCACCGTGGAGGCCGTGTGCTTCGCTGCGAGGACGAGCAGCATCAGCGGCTGTGAGTGTGTGTGCGCTGCTGGCGGCTACGGTGACACGTGTTTGCCAGCTGCGGTTCCGGACGACCTTGGACCGCTCCCGCTCCCCGATGCGGACGACACGGAGGTCCGCTGCGTGCACGGTGGCAGCATCAGCTCCGTGGACTATCCTGATCCCGGTGTGCGTGGTCTGTGCTTTGTCAGCGTGACCTTCACCGCCGCGATTGTGCTGGATCTGTCGTATTTTGACGCGCCACAACAGGCACTCAACATCACGCTGCTGCAGTGCGTCCTCGTGGGACTGTCGATCAAGGGGAGTGGTGTGCGTGTGCACGTGAACGTGACATCTTCGATGCTAGATTTTGGTGAGCTGGAGTTTGGGGGTGATTTTGGCGCGAGCTCCCAGATACTGGTGGCTGGCAGTACGCTTGTGACGACGTCGAGCCATGTCATTGCCTTTGTGAAGTTTACTCTTGGTGCGAACTCGACGCTGCTGCTACTCGACAACTACATCGAGGGGAATAGGTACGCAGTTTATTTCATCAATGCTGTTGTTGTTGATGGTGGCGGTATCATTGCGAAGGGGAATACGCTGAGCGCAAAGGAGGAGGATGACGGTGCGGAGTCAGCCGTTTGCGTTCATGCTGTTGATGTGAAGAATGGCGGCTACTTTGACGTGGAGAACAACACGATGAGGTCAGTCAATGGCGTTATTCTTTTTGGGAATACCATCGTGAGGTCCACGGGGCTGCTGCGGGTGGCGGACTGCACTTTCATTGGCAGGACGGAAGTTTTTTATCCCGCGCTGGTGAGTGTGCCTGACTCTGTGACACTCGAGGGCGGTGCGCAGTGGCGTGTGGAGGGCAACAGCGTGGGTGCAGCCTCAGTATTGAGTTTTCCGGATTCCTGGGAAAAGGTTCAGCTGTCAGGCAGCGGCACCACCGTGGTGCTTGCACACAACCGTCAGGTGGACGATAGTTATTCTTTTGCTGATGTGGCCTCGTCAGACACTATTGTGGCTTCCCCCGCGAGGATTGTGTTTGGGTGCAACCTGCAGGGCGATGAGGAGGTGTCGTACGACAGTGTGTTTCCGGAGGGCGTGGTGGTGTTTAGTTGTGGCACGTGCAACGACGACGCGGCGTGCTACATGCCCGGGACGGAGTCGGTGGACCGCAGCTCGTGCTCGTGCAGCTGCAAGGACGGATGGCATGGCGCGTCGTGTCTTCCCTTCGAGGTGCCCGACACGGTTGTGCCGCCTTTGCCGGAGAGAGCCGTTGACGGCGACACGAGCTGCGTGGTGAACCAGACGCTGACGAGCCTCGCGCTGAACATGTGGAAGACACACCACTGCTACGCGGGCGTGACATTCAGCGGCGTGGGTGTCATGCTGACGTTTTCCTTCGACAGTATGCCGCTGCATCTCCCCATCAACATCACGTTCACTGGGTGCACATTCCGTGAGGGTGCTTTGCTGCGGTTTGTTGGGGGTGCTGAGGCGGCGGAGTCAGCCGGCGTCCTGATCCGCGTGAGCCAGACGGTGATGCGTTCCTCTGTTGTTGCTTTTATGCATGTCCTTCCGCAGCACTGCGACATCGCCGTCACGGAGGTTGACGCGGAGCAGTCCTCCGAGGTCCATCTGCCGGACACCAGGAGGAACATGCTTAGCGTATTGTTCTTGAAGAATGTTGTGCTGAGTGCTTCTTCGCTGTTGGTCAGCAACGTCAGGGCGCATGCCTTGAGTTACGGTGGTTTTTGTTTGTACTCGTTCGGGACGCTGGCGCTGGTGGGTGGCAGCTCGCTTTACACGCGGTACTGCAGCCTCGATGGGTACATGCATCTGTTCTACGTGTGCAGTCTCAGTGTGAGTGATCACTCCGTTTTTGCGCTGCTCAACAATACGATGTTCTCCGGGGTAAGCCTGCTTTATCAGCAACAAGTATTCAGCGTGTCGGATCACAGCGTGTTGCGCATGGTGGGGAACAGCGGTTCTGTGTCATACGCCATTTGTAACGATGACTTGTGGACCGTTGAGCAGTCAAGCTGGCTGGACTGGCGCGACAACGACGTGGGAGTGGGTGCGATGTTCTACGACGCTGAGTCCGCTTTTGTGAGCATTGACGGCAGCAGTGTTGTGACGCTGACGGGCTGCAAGATGGGCTCGACGGGGTCGTTGGTGTCCTTTTTTTTTCAGGCTGACGCCGGCTATCGGTTCGTTGCTGGGTGTCTGACGGTCGCGGGACGTGTGGTGACGACGGCGGCCGAACTGGAGCTCCACGGCATCACCAACGTGACGACGGTTGCTGCGTGCGGGGAGTGCACGAAGGACGGCGACTGCTTTGCTCCGCTGACGACGGCGGTCAGCGACTGCGAGTGCCATTGCGCTGCTGGAGGGCACGGCGATGTGTGCGTCCCGGCGCCTGTGCCTGCTGGCCCGCCGCCACCGCCGCCGCCGCCTGTGTCGTCCACACCGCCACCACCGCCGGTTGGTGAGTGCATCAGCGACATGGTGTACCCCGAGGTTGCGCAGGCAGTGGGCGGTGGGCTGTCGTGGCTGTGCTACCGCAACGTGACGTTCAGTGGGGGCGGGATGAGCCTGACGGTGCTGGTTGGGGCGATGACGGGCGACGTGGCGAATGTCACGTTCGATGGCTGCACGTGGAGGGACGGCGCCGTGCTGTTGCTGTTGGGCAACGCGCACGCCGCTGTGGGGTCGCTGAGCATCATCGTCACCGGCAACAATTTTATTGACGCGCTGCTTAGCCCGGAGGGTGTGTTTTCACCGCGCACGAACATCACGATCAGCGGGAACCGCTTCACGGTCACGAGGCTGATCCCTCGGCAGGGTTTGGACCTTGACAGCCCGTCGTGTGTTGCGATGAATGGACTGGTGATCACCAACGACTCTGCGGTGGTGCTCAGCGGCAATGTGTTTCAGATCGTGACGGCATCGTCAAGCGCCATCTACGTTGTCAGATCTTCGCTGAGGGTGTTGTGGCGCTCCGTGTTTGCGGTGGTGGGCAACACGTTTCATATGGATGGCGGTGACGGCACGCTGATATATCTTGAGGGTTCTGCCCAATCCTCATCGCTGGAGGTACTGAACAACTCTGCCGTGGTGATCCGAGGCAACGTTGTGTCGAGGCCGGTGAAGTACTTTTTATTACTAATTTTGGCATTGCGTGTGGAGTCCCGGTCAGCGGTTGTGTTTGAGGGCAACGAAATGCAGAGAAGCTCGGTCGCGTTCTTCCCGAGCTACCCTTCCTACATTTACTACAACTCCTGGCTGCAGCTGAGCGGCAACCTCTGCCGTGAATCCCCATCGGATGCGTTTGCAGTCATGAACCCCACGGTGAATCTCCGCGACTCCACGGTGTCTGTGTCCGGCAACCGATTCATGTCCAGCACGGTCACGCCGACATTGCTGCAGATACCCAAAAGGTCCCGCGATCTCACAAACGGAGCGATTGTGGCCGCGTGCAACACTGTGAACGGTGAGGAGGGAGTGAAGTACGGCATTCCGTCCGTGTACAATACCGCCTTTTTGACCTGCAGCGACCCATGCACCCTCGCGGCTTCGTGCTTCCTCGCATACACGACGACAGCCTCGAGTGATGGCTGCGCCTGCGCGTGTGCTGAGGGCGGCTACGGCGATGCGTGCCTGCCCGTTGCTGTCTCCGAGCCACCGAGCACCGACGGCGCCGACTTGTGCGTGCGGGACCTGAGTGTAGACGTGGAGGTGAACGTCAGTTTCGGGACTTCGGTGGCGTGCTACGTTGGCGTGACCTTTGCGGCGGACGTCGTGGTGGACGTGGCGTCGATGTCGGGGAGCATGCGCAACGTGACGCTGGCGAACTGCACTTTTTTGGACGGAGCGAGTCTGTACGTTGTCGGGTGGCGGTCCGACCCGCCTGCTGGCCTGCGTGCCGATGTGTTGATCAGCGGGCTTGAGTCGCGCTCCGGCGGCGGCGTGGTGGTGGCGAACCGATTTCCGCCGGGCTCGCGCGTCACTGTGGTGGACTCGGTGCTGATTGCAGAGAAGCGCGTTGCGTACTGCGGCGCCTACGACCTTGGCGATGCGTCCGCGTGCCTCGTGCTGCACAGCGTGAATCTGACGGGGAGCGTGCTGACCATCGCGCGCACGCATGTGGCGGCGGTGTTCGGCGGCGCTGTTGGCGTGTTGTTTGTTGGCGGCGTGGCGCTGTCGTCGCGTGGTGCGCTGTACGTGGACGGGCTGTTGGTGCAGACGGCGCTGGGGCTGTGCGTGTCTGTGGAGGGCGGTGTTGCTGCCAGCGGCGGCTCCGTGGTGGCGTTTGTTGACAGCGACTTTCTGCTGTGCAAGCACGCGGTGTCCGTGCGTGGGGCTGTGAGTGTGTCGGGCTCCGCTGTGGCGCTTGTGCGGAGCGGCTTTTTGTCGACGGCGGACTACGCGGTGGCGTTTTATTCGACGATGAGCCTGGCCGACGGGTCGATGCTGCTGGCGAAGAGCAACGTGCACGACGGTGTCTCGAGGGAGATGCTCTACGCCGCTGGCGCCGTGACTGCTGTTGGGAGCACGCTGAGCTTTGTGCGCAACCGAGCGCTGCTGCCGCGGATGCTGTCGCTGAGCCTGTCGCTTGCGTCTGGGGCGCATGTGAGGGTGGCGTGCAACGACGCTGGTGGACGTGTCCTGTTGACGGCGGAGGAGTACGCAGCGGCTGGTTTTGGCGACGCTGGGAGCATCGACGTTGTTGGGTGCGACGTCTGCGACAGGGACACGCACTGCTACGCGCCCGGGACGGCGTCGGCGAGCATGAGGAACGGTGTGTGCGTGTGCGCGTGCGGCAGCGGCGGGCACGGCGAGGCGTGCGTGCCTG